ATAATACTTTTTTTTCTTTTCAAAAACAAAATAAAATAACACTGGGTATTAATTTCATGCATGTAAATAGAACAAGACACACTTTTAATCATTGCGATTCAACACAAAAAAATAACCCACATTTCTTCTTCTTCTTCTTCTTCTTGTCTGTGCAGGAAGTGTCCACCAGCAATTTGACCAGAACTGAGGAAGCAGCTTGGATGAGCTCTAAAACGTCGTCACTCAATAAAACTTTGTCCAGATGACAAAACAGATTTTTTCTTTTGCCACCAATTTCTTCCTCCAAAGTCTAAACTCCGCTCCAAACCACATGCAGACTGAAAATTGGATCTAGACTCTGGAAAAACCCCAAACACACCAAAATGAGTAAACCTCCAAAATGTCTATTATTTTCTTAACTGTTTCTTAACCTATGCAGTTGAAGGCCTCTCCATAGAATCTTACTCACGGTTCAAATTTGATGAGCAGCCCTGTCAAAATGATCCATTATTAAATGATGGGTTGCTGCGGTGGTCTTACTGTCTAGCTTGATTGTGTACATAAGCTCTGTGATTGGTTGAAGTTGACCGCTCAGTGACAATTGAGGTCCAAGTGTCCAATCCTGGGAGTTTATCTTGACTTTGCACAGCCTGTGTACACTGCAGCTTACAGCCTGAGCCCTTACATAATGTTTGCTCAAAACAGACTGTCCCAAAGTTACTCACGGAGCTGTTTCTCTGTTTGGGAGAGAGAAATCGAGTCCATTTAAGAGGCACTGCAGACGATTAGTGAGTTTGGAGAGTTTTACTTTGTTTGGAGCCCGGGGACTAACTGCCCATTTGCCTGGGATCAAGAATACACACTTCTTTGATACTTTACAAAGATGTGAATCTGGTCTAGTGAATCGCCCAGAGTTCAGATGGGTGTGATTGACAGGTGGATTAGCCAATCAAGGACACAATTGGCTCGTTCGTATCAAAACAAATATGGCTGCTTATGAGGAAAAACAGGACTGGAAAACATTGATTAATTAATTTAATCTGAGCTTTATTTAAACAGACTGTTACTAGAAAAAGCTGGTTTAGTTGGAGCTACAACAGGCGAGCTGATTTGTGCTATTAAAAATTCCTCTAAAATAAAATTACAGCCAGCTTGGTAGCATTTGCCAATAGTATTTCAATATCTCACCTTTTTGTTAAAAATCAAACACCTAAACCAGAAGTCTTCAGTTTTTTTTCAAGCCTGGGACCCCAAACTGATGGAGAGCAGGGACCCGTTACGATATATATGGCATACAACTGTCTTTTATGTTAAATTGGGCCTAGTGTCGTGTCTAAACAGATCCTCTGTCATCGTACATTCAATACCATCAAAGTCTCTTAACAAGTCCAGGCTTATCCTTAAATCCTGAGCTGAAACTAACTCCATCTCCAGTTTAAACCTCAACTCGTTCCATGGCAGAAATAGTCTTAGCTTTTAATAGTCCAAAGCTAAGTCAGACCTGAAATTTAAGATGCACTTTGTGCTCGCGGTCAGTCTGAGAAGACCAGAGCAGTGGAGCAATGATATCACAGAAAATGGGCTCAAAGTGTGACTCTTTTAATGATCTGACTAAAAGAGAGAGGAGCCACAGCTGGCCTTTCTGATCTGGAGAGCGGTCCTTCCCCTACGCAGCCAGCCTCCTCTCTGTCCTCGGAGTGACCAGGAGAGGAGGCTGGCTGCGTCGTGCGGACTCCGGAGTCTGGTTAATAGGCTCAAAGTTGCCTGAGCACTTCCTGTTGCGCGGTAGTACATGTGGAGCTTACCTTCTGCTGTGCGTAAAAGTGAAGCTGTAACGGGGGGCAGTAGTCTTGTGAATCACATGGTGCCCATCACAATCACCTACGCGCTGTGTGTAATGGGCAGCTACGGTACAAGAAACGATCAAATCTGCACTGAGGTGTTTGTGGTTTGACAGGGAGCGAGAGATGAGGGAGACAGATGTGATGAAGGAGAGAACAGACACAACCCACTGAAAACCAGTTCATCCACATCCTTAAAAAATGAAGAAATATATAAAAAAATAAAAATAAATAAATAATATAAAATCAACCAAAGATTTCGTGACCCCTGCAGTACGTCCATGACCCCCCTAGGAGTCATGACCTCTGACCTAAAGTATTGATCACAGGCTGGTGAAAATGTGAGGTTTAAATCCATTTTGTATTTTTTCTTGCTAATGCGTTCATTGTGTCACCATGGTAACTACAAAAACATTCCACTATAGAAATACATGTAGAACACCCCCAGTCTGATGCCACTGCAAATTATCAATACAACAACCATATTATTGTGAAGACGTTTTGATCTCCCACAAACACAAAAGCAGCACAGTTCAGTCAAACAGCAGACGGGTTTGAGTGCATTGTTCTGTGTGTGTGTGTGTGTGTGTGTGTGTGTGTGTGTGTGTGTGTTAGTACATCCAGTGCCTTATGTATCTAACATATGCTTTAATGTATGCCTCCTGTCTCTAGTCCATATGTAGAGCAGGATGTGGGTGTCAGGAGCCAGTTTACACCTGTTCATCTCTGTTTTATCTTAAATACATTCTCATCAGTGCGCTGTTTGTCCACCTCATTTGCTATTCTTTTCACATGACTTTATTTATATATTCTTTTAACATGACTTTATTTCATGCATGGGTGTGATGTTTCTCTTCTTTCTGCTTAGGTGTGATGTTGCCTACGACTGGAGACTGAGCTGTGTTCAAAGGACAGCTGCTCTATTCTCGACGTCGGCTGAGACAGATTATTGGATGTTGCTGCAGTGATGGGAGGAATGCTTTGAAAATGTTTTACTCAATACCTGCATTTCAGTGTATTTTGTAATGTATTCTGATACATGGTCCAGTCAGAGTACTGAATTCTGAATACTTGGAATATTTTTACACTGAGTTGCATTTAAATTATAGTGTAAAGACAGGATTAAAACAGCTTTATATTTGTTTCACCGTTTGTTATGCATTTATTTATGGTTGATCAGATCACACTCACAAAAGCAGTGTTTTACATTTTTCTCACTCAATTTTGTGATCAAGTACTGCCATGTATTGGTTTGATTTTAGAAAAGTAACTGAATTCAATTGCACCAAATGGAAAAGTAACTGCAGGAATATTCAGAATACATAATATCGGTACACAGTGTTGGGGAGTAACAGATTACATGTACCGGAGTTAAGTAATCAGAGTACAAATTATAAGTAACTGTATTCAGTTACAGTTACTGTTTAAGTAAATGGTAATTAAATTACAGTTACTTGGTTGAAATAAATGGATTACACTGCGGTATTTTCCTGTTTTCACTTTTTTTTTACATTTCACTTTTGTTTTTGGAATTCCACTCATTGCCGGAAACTAAACCAGGTCTTAAACCAGGTCTAAACCAGGTCTAAACCAGGAATAAACCAGGACTAAAACCAGGACTAAACCCATGTCTAAACCAGGTCTAAACCAGGTCTAAACCCAGGTCCAAACCAGGTCTAAACCAGGTCTAAACCAGGAATAAACCAGGACTAAACCCAGGTCTAAACCAGGTCTAAACCAGGACTAAACCCAGGTCTAAATCAGGTCTAAACCAGGAATAAACCAGGACTAAACCAGGACTAAACCCAGGTCTAAAACCAGGTCCAAACCCAGTCTAAACCAGGCCCAAACCAGGTCTAAAACCAGGAGTAAATCAGGACTAAAACCAGGTCTAAACTATGTCTTAAACAGGATTGAACAGGACTAAATCATGCTGCGTGGACGTGTCTCCTCTTCTTCTATCAGTAATATTTTTAATTTGGTTAAGTAAAGTCTGGACTTTTTATTTTCTTTTAGCAAACAAAACATCTTATGTTACGATATCCTCGTCTTTGCTTCTCTCCAGCAAACCAAGTAATCCAAAGTATTCAGATTACATTACTCACTTTAAGTACTTTAATGGATTACGTTACAAACTACATTTTGGTTTATGTAATCTGTAATCTGTAGGGGAATACATTTTAAAAGTCACCTTCCCAACACTCCAACACTGTCTGTGCATGTATTCTGTTTCTCTTATATGATTAACTGAGATTCAGGAGCTGGACCATGACTCACCCTCCTCTCCAGCCAACCACATCTTATCTCAGCCACGCCTTCAGTTACCCACAAGTACTATTTATACAGCTGTCCCGACAACACCGCCTGTGTCTGCTCTCTCGACCACCTCCCTCCCACCCCGTGTCTTTCATCCATCCTTCAGTCCGAAAACATCATCCTTAAGGAGCAGGGCTTCCGAATCAGCTGGATGACCATTTTGGATCGAAAATGGAACAATCGCGCTGAGTCTCCCCCCAGCATCACATCTTTCCACCGTCAATAAAATGTCTTTTTGTATTCCATTGTTGTGGTGTGGTCCTTTCTAGTGGATAAAGTGTTAGAAACAGATCCAGATTTTTTTGTGTGATCATGTGTGAGGAGTGTGTCTTCTTTATTATGCTTTATTAACTAAAAGGCTCCTGACTCCTGTCTCCTTGTGTGTTTATTTACTGCTCTGTGTGGTGGTCTGCTCCGGGGGCGGGTGGGGCTGAGAGTTTGGATCAAGCAGAGGTTAAAGGTCAGCAGTCAGGAGCAGGGTTTAACCAGGACAGTTTCATGTGGCGCCATGAGCTAAAGTGAATTAAAGTCATTGTGCGAGCCAAGTGTGCAAAGTCACACACAGTCACATTTTGGTGATCACATAACACGCAATTTCTGCTCTGACGCCGTGATTGGAAGGCAAATGTTCAAAGCATCTCTACTGATTTCTTTTCAAAAATGTGTTCTGAGTGAAATATCTAATCTTTTGCGTAGTATATATATGGATTGTTTCTAAATGTGTGATTTAAACAGCCTGGATTTCAAACTAAAACCATGTATCATTGAGTTGTGCTCTTTCCGTGTTCACTCTGCAGCAAGGTTAGCCAAAGGTCATTACAGGAGAAGGGACTACACCCCCTCCCCTCCCTCCCTCTCGCTCACCTCTGCCACGCACGTGTAGACCTGCAGGATCTGCTCGTGACCTTTGACCTGCCTGACGCTGATTTTGCAGGAGAGCTGTGCGGTGGCCGGGCTGAATCTCTCCAGGGAGAAGGCACAGTGCAGGGGGGACTGGTTACTGCACCACACTTGGGAGAAGGAGAATTCCTGAAACAAGAGACAACAAACGAGAAATGGGGGAAATGAGTTGTGTTTACGAACAAAATCAAGCTGCTAATATTACATGCGGTAGATGCAATTCGAGCTGTAATCAAGTACAAATATTGCATGCTACGGCTACAAAGTAAAATGCAATCAAATCAAGATCACAATTTGAATCAAAATCACAATTTGAATCAGAATAACAATGCGAATCAGAATCACAGTTTAAATCGGAATTACAATTTGAATCAGAATCACAGTTGGACTCAAAAGCACAATTAGGAGCAAAATCACAGTTTGAATCAAAATCACAGTTTGAATCAAAATTTAATTCAAAATGGCAATTTAAACTAAAATCACAATTTGAATCAAAAATCACAACTTGAACTGAAATCACAATTTGAATCGGAATCACAATTCCAATCGAAATAGCAATTTGAATCAGAATTGTCATTTGAATCACAGTCACAATTTGGAGCGAAATCACAATTTGAAACTGTAATTTGAACTGAAATCAAAATTTGAATTGGAATCACAATTTGAATTGACGCAATAAGCAAATAGGCTGCAATTTTTTAAGTACCATATTCAAAGAAAATATCCTGACTTATTCAGCATAAAAAAAACAAACCGTACAAACATGTTCTGAAATGTGATTCTTGTATTAGTTTGCCAGTTCATTTCAGTATTTTTGTCAATTCTTATGGATGCGTTTGATTTAAGACAAATTGTCAAATCTAAATACTATCAGAATACTTGTCAGAAAAAAAATATTTTGCACTTTTCAGTATGTCATTTTCACTTTGAAAGGCATGAAACTCAATAGTCTCGTCCCCTTTGACGCTTGTTGAGGTTCAGGTCAATTTCACATTTGTTTTTCTCACTGATCTGATCTGATCTCACTGAAAAAAAAAAAAAAATCAAAAAATCAAATTACTGTTTAAAGGCATGACGGAGGCTAAACAGATCCGTGATAACTAGGGTTAATAACTTTTCCCCAGTTCAAAAACAGATCTAAAATGTAAGATGATTAACTTTGAGCAGGTTTTCAAACTTATCTATGGAAAAAATTAACCAGACATTTATTTCTGGAACTAAATGGTGGGGAGTCACAGTAGAGCTCCACTGAGGACTAGTTATAAATGAGGTAGTGATGTATGTTATTTAAGTTATGAGGTGTAAGTTATGAGGTTATGATTCTGAGGATTCTAAAAACAAATCATCATTTGTGCTATGTGTTTCAGTTTAAATTGGATTTTTTATTTTTTTTTTTTTTTTTGCAAATAAACTGTGCATATGGTCTTTTAATTACATTATCTATTGTTCCTGGTCCTCTTTTTTTGCAAACAACAAAAAACTGTGCCTCCTCCAGTGGTCAGTGCGATTTCAAGTACTATGTGACATCACGCAAGACTGTCATAATTACATACAGGTGTTCCTGATTACAAACACCACAAGCAGGGGTGGAGTTTGAAGTGTGGATACCTGTTAGACTAATCATATTATTCCTTACACCTCCAGACCCCGCCCCTCCTCCTCCTCCCTCACTCTCCCCTTTAGTCCTCCAGGTACTGCCCAGTTCAGCAGTTTAGATGTTTAGTCCCACTTAATGCACCTCAAACAATTTTTCCCCACCCACTCCTCCTATTGGTCAGCCTCAGTGATGCTCTGAGTGAGTGACAGGTGGATATAACCAATCACAGTGTAGCATGACCTTCTTGAAGAAGCAGATAGATGTTTCTTAACATCAGCATATAACCCTTTGTATAAAATATTAGCTCTGCACATGTGTGCGGAGGTTGGGGAATGGAGTCGTTTGAGGTAGTTCCTTGTATATTACACCTTTTATCAACAGCGTGAATGAAATGCAAATGTAAAAGCAGCTTTAATGTGTTTGTGTGTGCATGTGTGGGCCCTGCGCTCCACCTCCTCTGCTGTTTACATACACCAGGGCCCATTCAAGGCCGCATAAAAGAACAGAGGCTTTCAAGTACCACATCCATGCAGAGATATAACCACTGTAGGAGAATGAGAGGAGGACAGTGCAGGAAAAGAATATCGAGATGAGTAAAAATGACTTGGATTATTATGTCAGTATATGGATGTATAAAAGAACTTCATCTGTATGTTAAAAAGGGAGGCCTACTACAATCACCACTGAACCTGTGTCAGTGCCACAGCCTTAACCTGCAGATAGAAAACACATGAGAGTTTTTCTCATTGGATACAGAACAAGCCTCATGTGAAAACTCAGAACCTCCAGAATTCACGCTGCAGAGGCTGCACTAGCACTGAATCATGATGCTGCAGGTGCTGGGGTTTAGGGGTGTACATTTAGATCAGAGAGTCATGTTTGTGGCCATACCGGCTTGTCAAAGCCTGATCTTCTCAGATCTCAGAAGCTAAGCAAGGTCGGCCTGTTTAGTACTTGGTTGGGAGACCACTGCTGCTTCAGCCTGTCTGCCCCAGGGCAGATGTGGCTACAAGCAGCTTACCACCACTGAGTGTGAAATGACTGACAAATATGCTATAAATCACTTTGGTGTCTTGAGAGGAGCTAAATAAATCCAATGGTTAATCAATTAATTTATTACAAATTTTGGTTTAAACCAACTGGATTTCAGCATTGAAATTGGCAAATGAGAGACTCATGTGAGACTCATACTGCTCACTGGATAATCGTCTTGGGAAGCAAAACACCAAATTATAACAAACAACTTGGCCATCATAATTATCTATGTTTTCGTAATTAAGAATAAATCAAATTAGAATTGTTATCAGTAAAAGTTACATTTGATTTGAACATGTCTCTTCATATCTGTCATGTTTGTGACATGTGTTCAAACTCTTCCCTATACTACCTAAAACTGCATAATGCAGACACTCTGAATGCACCAGGAGCATGTGATATTATTGTCCCTCTCCATTTACCCCATGTCCACTTTATAACAAATCCCCCAATTAACTGTGACTCCTCTTCACCGACTCTCTCCTCTGTCCTCACTGCACTACCCATATTTATTTGTTGACACATTTCCAAACCCCAACTCTTTGTCTGTGAAAAGAAACCTCACGTTGCTTCGACTGAGCTCCGTGCTCTGTCTTTCACACCAGTTTATTTCAGCGTCTCGCCTCTGAATCGCCGCTTCTCAAACATCCCCCATAAGACGTGACCGCGCGCAAATGTCTGTACTTTATCCTCACAAGTACTTTCAAATGAGGTTGCCCAAGCTAACCGTTGGCGCCAGCGACCGTGTTCTGGGAATCGCAGTCGTCTTTTGCCGTGGAGAAGGCGTGTGGGCGGGTGGACAGCGGCGTATTTCGCTGGCTCTGCTTATGTCTGTTATTTACAACTGCGCTGTGAGGAGGACAGGCGAGTTTTGGAAAGACTTGTGCAGTGTTGGACGTGGAGAAGTTGCTAGAATAGGTATCAAAAAGTGTTCTTTAAGTATATGTAGAATGTCTAAACTAAGGGTGGGTGATGTACTAGCAATACTTATGGTTGTCTTGTAAGTTAGATCATAATTTCAGTTTTATCATAGTCCATTTCTTATTTTAAAAAGTATGTAAAGCTATCTTCTGCTTTGATATTAAAGGTCCTATACAGGGGTGTAGTGAGTGTGGTACGCGGGGGTACGCCGTCCATCCACTTCTCCCGACTTGAGATATAAAAAAATAACAAATATAATATAGCTACAACTTAAATGTCAAACCGGAGCTACTGACAATGAGGAAAACAAACTGCATAGACTCATGATATCTGCACTACTGTCCTATAGAGACCTGAACCAGGACAGAACTAGGACTAAACCAGGACTAAACCAGGTCTAAAGCAGGACTAAACCAGGTCTAAAGCAGGAGGTGCACCCGCATAGACTTTCGGGTGACCGCAGGTGAAAGGACCGGCGCAGAGCGGACTCGGATTTCTCTCTCTTGCTCTCAAGTCCAAAACAAGTCTTGGTTTAGACCTGGTTTATATCTGGTTTAATCCTGGTTTAGACTTGTTTTAGTCCTGTTTTAGTCCTGTTTTAGTCCTGGTTCAGTCCTGGATTAGGCCTGGTTTAGATCTGGTTTAGTCCTGGTTTAGACCTGATTTAGACTTGTTTTAATCCTGTTTTAGTCCAGTTTTAGTCCTGGTTCAGTCCTGGTTTAGACCTTGTTTTGTCCTAGTTTTGTCCTGGTTCATTTCCTGGTTAATTCCTGGTTTAGTCCTGTTTTAGTCCTGGTACAGACCTGGTTCAGACCTGGTTCAGTCCTGGTTTAGTCCTGGTACAGACCTGGTTTAGTCCTGTTTTAGTCCTGTTTTAGCCCTGGTTTAGTCCTGTTTTAGTCCTGGTTCAGTTCTGGCTCAGTCCTGGTTCATGTGTTGTAGCCTGTGCTTTATGTTCTGTAGGTGATTGTTAACGGCGTTAATGTCAATAATATGATTCTGCATCATTTTGAGTAAAAAAAAACATCAAATATTACTGATTTTTACTGGACTGGCGCCTTTATGTTTGTACTAAAAGTGAGTTTTTATTTGTTTTATTTATTATTATTATTATTTTTAAATAAACAATCTATATGACACCTGTGTGTATTTCGGCATGTCAGAGAGAGTATATGGCTTCTAGTGTGGATAGGAGGGGTAGGTGGGCGGGACTTACCACATCAATAATGTCACGAATCACGTCCCCACTCAAAAAATCCCCACTACACCACTGGTCCTATATTCCACAAAACTGACTCTTGTGAGCTTTAAGCCATGATATAATGTTGTTACCTCCTCAAAAACAGACCTGGAGTTGGGTTTTGATTCATTCACACATGTTTGAGTAACTTATTATCAGTCTGTCTACATCTCCAAAACTCAAAATGCTCTGTTCCACCTTGTGATGTCATGAAGCTGTACTTTTCAGGTCAAGAGCTACTTTTTTAGCTTTAGTTCAGTAGAGATTGGCAATTCTAGGTCTGAAATCATCCAAATGATTTTAGTGAAGGTGTATGCAATTTATAAACACAGTGGAGTATTTATTGTATTACCACATGACATCACAAGGTGGAACAGAGTGTTTTCTGTTTGAGAAAAAGCTTAATTATGCAGGGTATGTGTGTTAAACATTATAATATAGATCAGAAAATAGCATAATATTTCATGTCTATGGGAAAAATGAATGAAATGTATTATTTATTAGAGCTCCATGCATGTATCCTTTATTGTAAACAATGTAAATGAGCCTGAGTTCGCAGATTGAGCTCATTTTTCTCATAGTCTCTTGACCAGACGTGAGAAAGGCACATAAAATAATAGGCATTGGGAGATTAGGTTAGTATAAGCTTTCACTTCTATCCCTGATTCACACTATCAATAAAACACCTCCCGTCTCCTGTCTCTCGCATCTATTAAACTCGTTCCTTCCTGATCAAAGCTCACGGGGTTAAACCTATAGGAAATGGTGCTCCTCGGCTTGTCCTAATGGCCTGCCTTATCCTCGGGTCACTTTGAATATGCAGATCTGGCAGCGACTAAGCCAGGAACGGGTCAAGGACTTCTCGCGCATGTGTCCATTCAAATTAATTATACATCAAAGCTTCCTGTTCCCTACCAGATCTGTGCTTACTGTACCATCAGGCGGCAAGCTGCTGCTGCCACCGCAATCTGGAAGGGAGGCCATGTTAAGGACTCGTAAAGGAGACAAGTGCACTGTACAAAAGAGGAACGGCACTGTCTGTTAAACTGATTTGTATGGATAATCTTCAAATCTTAGTTAAGACTTGGTAAGACTTGATTATTTCACTGATTATGGAGCCTCGTGAGCTGGTCCTTTCTACTTTCTGTTCAAGCTCACTGTATATCAGTTTTGTTTTTTCTTTTTTCTGCAGTGCATGTCTGTTTTTCAGTTTTATATATAGTGTAGGGAAGGTGACTTTTAAAATGTATTCCCCTACAGATTACAGATTACATATCCCAAAATGTAGTTTGTAACGTAATCCATGAAATTACTTAAAGTGAGTAACGTAATCTGAATACTTTGGATTACTTGATATTGTCATGCTTTTTAAAACTACATGGATGTACCAACCACATCCTGAAAATTCTTGTTTGTTCTCTTCAAATTGGCTGTTGAGCCCAAGTCTCCATGAATAGGTTTGCTGTAGAGAAGCAAAGACTAGGAAATCTTAACATAAGATGTTTTGTCTGTTAAAAGAAAATAAAAAAGTCCAATCTTTCCTTAACCATATAAAAAAAAAATACTGATACAGAAATGCTTTATCTATATGAGATCACTGCTGCCTTCAATTATGTCCACCTATTGTTAGTGTCATATTGTTTAGTCCTGGTTTTAGTCCTGGTTTTAGTCCTGGTTTTAGTCCTGGTTTTAGTCCCGGTTTAGTCCTGGTTTAGTCCTGGTTTAGTTGTGGTTTTTAGTTGTGGTTTTAGTTCTGGTTTTAGTTCTGGTTTTAGTCCTGGTTTTAGTCCTGGTTTTAGTCCCGGTTTAGTCCCGGTTTAGTCCTGGTTTTAGTTCTGGTTTAGTTCTGGTTTTAGTCCTGGTTTTAGTTCTGGTTTTAGTCTGGTTTTAGTCCTGGTTTAGTTCTGGTTTTAGTCCTGGTTTAGTCCTGGTTTTAGTCCTGGTTTTAGTTCTGGTTTTAGTTCTGGTTTTAGTCCTGGTTTTAGTTCTGGTTTTAGTTCTGGTTTTAGTCCTGGTTTAGTCCTGGTTTAGTCCTGGTTTTAGTCCTGGTTTTAGTTCTGGTTTTAGTCCTGGTTTTAGTCCTGGTTTTAGTTCTGGTTTTAGTCCTGGTTTAGTCCTGGTTTTAGTCCTGGTTTTAGTTCTGGTTTTAGTCCTGGTTTTAGTCCTGGTTTTAGTCCTGGTTTTAGTTCTGGTTTTAGTCCTGGTTTTAGTCCTGGTTTTAGTCTGGTTTTAGTCTGGTTTAGTCCTGGTTTTAGTTCTGGTTTTAGTCCTGGTTTAGTCCTGGTTTTAGTTCTGGTTTTAGTTCTGGTTTTAGTCCTGGTTCAGCCCAAAATGTGAAAACAGGAAAATACCGCGATGTAATCCATTTATTTCAACAAAGTAACTGTAATCCAATTACCACTCACTGAAACAGTAACTGTAACTGAATACAGTTACTCATAATTTGTACTCTGATTACATAACACCAGTACATGTAATCTGTTACTCCCCAACACTACTTATATGTGGCTTTTCCTCTCCCTTTTTACTCTTAAGCCTCCATGTTTGGTCTGACACAAATGGACCATGAATTGTGCCTAAGATTTAGATTTAAATTTTCATAAACTTGACCTGTGACCCCAGATATGACGTACGTGTTCAAATCATTCATTTTTAATGATAACAGCTGTAATGCTGATTCATTCTTAATTACAAAAACATTAGAAATGGGTCCCATTTATTCATATTATTTGGTGTTTTGGTTCTTGAAGTGATTATCCAATCAGAAAGAAGAATGAGCCAGTTGGTTTAAACCTAATTCAGGAGATTCTGAGCTTTCACATGAGGCCTGGTCTGTCCATATGCTGGAAAAGAGACAAAACTTGTATGTGTCCTCTATCTACAGGTTAAGGCTCTAGCAACCCAGGTGTAGTTGTGATTGTAATACCTGCTTAAAACCATGTGTTTATTTTCTAACTGTGCCATTTAATAGTGCTGAGAGGATGGTGCACTGTGACATCTTTTAAAAAATAATAATACAAGTGCTAATAATATAAATTCACTGACTCAGATGAGGTTTGACTTCTCCCCTTTCTCAACTTTTGGGCTTAAAGTTACAGGGAATAATTTAGAGGATCTGTCAAAAATTAGGTTTACAATTCTTTGTATATTTCTAACAATGCATGGCCATTTCATAAATTACTATCAGAACAGTCTGAAATAATGTTACCCTCACACTATAGATCTAATATGATGGTACATGTAGTCATGGTGTTGTTGTGTTATACGATGGTACATGACGTAGTGTTGTGTTGTTGTGTGATATGATAGTACATGTAGTAGCGGTGTTGTGTGTGATATGATAGTACACGTAGTAGTGTTGTTGTGTGATATGTTAGTACATGTAGTAGCGGTGTTGTTGTGTGATATAATAGTACATGTAGTAGTAGTGGTGTTGTTGTGTGATATGATAGTACATGTAGTAGTGGTGTTGTTGTGTGATATGATAGTACATGTAGTAGTAGTGGTGTTGTTTGTGTGATATGATAGTACATGTAGTAGTAGTGGTGTTGTTGTGTGATATGATAGTACATGTAGTAGCGGTGTTGTTGTGTGATATAATAGTACATGTAGTAGTAGTGGTGTTGTTGTGTGATATGATAGTACATGTAGTAGCGGTGTTGTTGTGTGATATAATAGTACATGTAGTAGTAGCGTGTGTTGTTGTGATATGATAGTACATGTAGTAGTAGCGGTGTTGTTTGTGTGATATGATAGTACATGTAGTAGTAGTGGTGTTGTTGTGTGATATGTTAGTACATGTAGTAGCGGTGTTGTTGTGTGATATAATAGTACATGTAGTAGCGGTGTTGTTGTGTGATATGATAGTACATGTAGTAGCGGTGTTGTTGTGTGATATGTTAGTACATGTAGTAGCGGTGTTGTTGTGTGATATGATAGTACATGTAGTAGTGTGTTGTTGTGTGATATGATAGTACATGTAGTAGTGGTGTTTTGTGATATGATAGTACATGTAGTAGCGGTGTTGTTGTGTGATATGATAGTACACATAGTAGCGGTGTTGTTGTGTACCTGACATGTGGTAAAGGGCTTGATGCTCCAGAGGAAGTGGGGCACGTCCTGGATGGACACCTGCAGACTGAAGGAACTCGCTCTGAAAGGCAACGTCTGAGGCTCCTCCAACAGCTGACCTCCTCTGCTCCGCTCCGCCCACACCACTCCCTGTACACACACACACACACGGGAGAGAAGGAGTGAGTGAGGAAAAGGAGAGAAGGTGGTCAGAGAGAGAAGAGAGAGAAGGTGGCACATGGAGAGAGAGAAATGTAGAGAGAGAGGAAGAGAGAGAAGGAGAGAGAAAGAAGGGGGGAAGAGGGAGAGAGGAGAAGAATGGATGAAAGTGAGAAAGACGGGGGGAGAGAGAAAGAGAGTGGTGGGAGAGAGATGAGAGAGAGAAGGGGGTAAATGGAGAGGCAGAGAGAGAGAGAGGAAGAAGGACAGAGAGAAGAGAGAAAGTGAGTAGATGGATAGAGAAGGGGAAATTAAGAAACACAGGAAGACAGACAGATGAAGAGAGGAAAGAGAGAGAGAAGGTAGGCAGAGAGACAGAGAAAGAGCGGGGGTGAAGAAGAGGGAGAGAGAGGAATGGGTGAAAGTGAGAAAGAAAGAAAGATGGAGGAAGAGGGGCAGAGAGGAGAGGGAGAGAGAGAGAAAGCGAGCAGAGGGATAGAAAAGGGGAGATGGTGAAATTAAGAAACAGAGGAAGAGAGAGAGGATGGTGGGAGAGAGATGACAGAGAGAGAGGGAGAGAGAAAAGGGGCCCAGATGAAGAAGGTGGACAGAGAGATAGAGAAAGAGAGTGAGGGTGAAGAAGAGGAAGAGAAAGGAGTGAGTGAAAGTGGGAAAGAAAAAGAGAAAAATTGGTGGTGGGAGGAAGACGCTTGAGAGAAGAGACAGAACGAAAAAGAATGAGCAACACAGAGGGATATACATACTCCACCCAGAGAGGAGTCTAACCCACAACCTCCTTACACACAGTAACACAGGAAGCACACACACACAGTGCAGAAATTTCTAGAAAATAGTTTGGTACGAGTACAGTTCTCAAAACACAAACATTATAAAACTTGGTGAGACTTAGCTTCGCCATGGCAACCGCACAACTTAATCCTCAACATAATCCCTAATTAGCAAACAATTAATCTCGGTAAAAACAAAACATACCAGAAAAGTATTTTGTGAAGGAAAGCCCAAAGGGAAATAGTAAACAGAGTTGAAACAATGCTTTTCCTTCTCATTTGGGCGACACATTATTTTGCATATCAGCGTGTTCCACCTGCCGCTGCCGAGCATGTCTCACCCCCCACCCTCTCCTCACGCCCCTCCACTCGAAACAGAGACGAGACGTGGGGCCCAGCGCAGCGAAGCAGTCTGGAGTCCCGTTAGCACAATATTCAGAGGACGAGATGAGGCTGATGAAATGAGGTTTGATCACAACTGATGATTTGTGTGGACGTCTGTATTCTGAATGAGTCTGCAGCACCGCGCCCCCTTTACTGATCCAATGATCACTCGGGACCCCACAGTAACAACAAAAATTTGTAAAAATAAGTATTTATGTAGTCAGTCTAACAGACAGTTATGTACATGTAGTTTCAAACTCAATTGTTTGTTGTCTAGATCACCTTTGGGGCCAACCAGGGGGCCTTGGAGTCCACTTTGAGAACCACAGAATTAATGATTGGCTGTTGGTGCTGGGGTTTATAGTGACGATTCAGAGTCTTTAAGGTCTAAACCAGGAGTGTCCAAACTTTTTTCATCAAGAGCCTCATACTTACAGAGTGTACGGAGTGTCACAGATACAGGACAGTAAAGTCATTCAAAAGGTTACTGTTCACTTATAAGTGACTGAGCCACCATGCCTTTAAGAAGGCTTGAAACATTAATTTATAAGTCTACGTATATCACATTAAAACGTTATTTATTAAATGTACTGTATTTATTTTTATTTCAGTTATGATTTTCCAGTGTAATATGCAGTATAAAGTACTATATTTGGTCATTTAGACAATTTAGCAGGAAGCCCGAGGGCCAACAAAAATGTGTCTGCATTGGACCCTGGGCCATAACTAACAGATAGTTATGTACATGTAGTTTCAAACTCAATTGTTTGTTGTCTAGATCACCTTTGGGGGCCCTCTCTAGTGCTTCTGCGGCCACCCAGGGGCCCTAGAGTCCACTTTGAGAACCACAGAATTAATGATTGGCTGTTGGTGCTGGGGTTTATAGTGAGGATTCAGTCTTTTAGGGCCAAACCAGGAGTGTCCAAACTTTTTTCATCAAGAGCCTCATACTTACAGAGTGCCACAGATACAGGACAGTAAAGTCAGTCATTCAAAAGGTGACTGAGCCACCATGCCTTTAAGAAGGCTTGAAACATTAATTTTAAGTCTGTATCATATTAAAACATTATTTATTAAATGTACTGTATTTATTTTGATTTCAGTTATGATTTTCCAATGCAATATGCAGTATAAAGTACTATATTTGGTCATTTAGACAATTTTGCAGAAATCCTGTGGGCCAACAGAAATGTGTCTGAGGGCTGCATTGGACCCTGGGCCATATTTTGAACAGCCCTGGTCTAAAACAACTGGATGTCTGCACTGAAACTGGCAACCCAAACGAGAGACTCATCCTGCTTTCTGAAAGGATAAACAACATCATGTCCAATGTTTTTTTGTAACCAAGAATAAATCAGCATTACAGTTGTTATCAAAAAAGCTCTATTTGAATGGAACATGTTTATCTCATATCTGGACACAGACAGGTCATGTTCATGGCATTGTGAATTGTGAATTTTTTTGGCCCTAATTGTGTTTGTGTGTTTGTGTGTGTGTGCACGTTCAGCTGGTCTCAAGTTCAGATTCCTTGTGAGGTTTGCCGCAACAACCACATCACACATCAAAATGAAGCTTGTTAAAATGGGTTTCATGTTTGATCGCTGTCAGAGCTCTGTGTAATCTGTCCAGTGACCACTGTGGTGTGACATATTAGCATTTGCGGTTAGAAATAATAAATAAAAAGCAGAATGGAAACGTGTTCGTGTACGTGCTTCAGCTCCTCAGCTCTTCAACAGTGACACTTGTTTACGGCCGCTCACATGTTTGACAGAGATTGATCGTAGAAGCAGCGAGAAGAGGGCTCACTCCGAGACCAAGATTACAAAATATCAGACTCGACTTCATATTTGTCACAGCTCGTCTCTGGATGTGAGAAAAGTTTATTCTTCGTCCCTATCGCACTGAATGACCGATCTACGTTTTTGAGCTATACAAGATTTAGTCGTCAGTAATCTTCCATTACAGCCGGACAAAACTCTTTAGTGAACACTCCGCCTGAGATTTGAAGTGTTTTTTTTAAGAATATTGCATTTTTTGTTGGGTGCACTGAAGCAAAAGAGCAAGGTTTATGTCACTAGCAGTCACAGCTTCTCCTACAATGGACTTTCTTTATATTGACCTTGTTCTGTATTGCAGATACAAACTGAAGACATCACATACATGAAGCAAGATGAATGGAATAATGTAGCAACAGCTTCAGATTCTGAGTCCTCAAAGTATCCTCCGTTTGCTTTGTCGACAGTGTTACAAACCACTGGCCTTCTCTGAATGAGCTTCATTATGAAGTCGAAGACTGTGCAAAGCAGTGAGAAAAGTTTACTCTTCATCCCGATCTCACTGAAAGACCCATCTACGTTTTTGAGCTACACAAGATTTAGTCGTCAGTAATCTTCCATCACAGCCGGACAAAACTCTTTAGTGAACACTGATCCTGAGATTTGAAGTGTTTTTTAAGAATAGACAATTTTTTATGTTAGCTGCACTGAAGCAAAGGATCAAGGTTTATGTCACTAGCATTATTCACACACATCTTCTCATATTGACCTTTTTGGCAGATATGATAACTTTCTAATAGATTCTGAGTCTTCGAAGTATCTGCCTTTTGCTTTGTGGACAGTGTTACAAACACTTGGTCTTCTCTCAGTGAGCTTCATGATGAAGTCTCCTGAAATGGTTTTCACTTCACAGTTGAGTCATGTCAGGGTTCATTAGTGGAAAACCAAGACTGTGCAAAGCAGTGAGAAAAGTTTACTCTTCATCCCATCTCACTGAAAGACTCATTTACGTTTTTGAGCTGCACAAGATTTAGTCGTCAGTAATCTTCCATCACAACCGGACAAAACTCTTTAGTGAACATCCATCCTGAGATCTGAAGTGTTTTTAAGAGTTTTTAAAAGTATTTTTTATGTTGGCTGCACTAAAGCAAAGGATCAAGGTTTATGTCACTAGCATTATTCACACACACCTTCTCTACAGTGGTCTTTCTTTATATTGACCTCTTTGGCAGATACAAACTGAAAATATCACATACATGGAGCAAGAGAGAGAGTCCTCAAAGTACCCACCCTTTGCTTTGTCGACAGTGTTATAAACCCGTGGCAAAACCAAGACTGTGCAAAGCAGTGAGAAAAGTTTACTTTTCGTCCCTATCTCACTGAAAGAACTATCTGTGTTTTTGAGCTACACAAGATTTAGTCATCAGTAGTCTCTTTAGTGAACATTCTGCCTGAGATTTGAAGTGTTTTTAAAGAATAGTGATATTTTTATGTTGGCTGCACTAAAGCAAAAGATCAAGATTTATGTCACTAGAATTAGTCACACACACACCTTCTCTACAATGGACTTTATTATATTGACCTCTTTGGCAGATACAAACTGAAGGGATGTAACAATATTCATCTCTCAGTACGATATTTTCTCTTCTGTATCTCATGGCCCCAGATTTATTTCAATATTTTGTGGAGGCTAACAAAATTGTGAATATGTTAGCTTTTCCTCTTAAAATGCCTTGATAAGACTTAATCCAAAGAACTAATATTTCAAAGTGTTTATAACAGCTATTTCTTTATGTAGTCTGCACTGAAACGGAGAAAAGATCATGGGCTATGTACTTCCCGCTGTTTTTTAGTTGTTGCTGCACTATAGCTATTAAATTAAGAGAAGAGAGTTGTAATTCGATTTATTGTGATGGCCCTCGATATTATTGTGTGACCTTTGATGACACGATATCATGATATTTCAGTTATTGTTACATCCCTACTGAAGACATCATGTACATGCAGCAAGATGAATGGAATAATGTAGCAATAACTTCAGATT